TCTGTTGCCAACTTTTGATATTCTGTTCAATTTACATGTTGCAGCCACTGTTGCATAATTAAAATTTGGAAATTAATTTCATAATTTCTCCCTTTCTATTATTAACAGTCTCTTTTTTTTTCTTTTTGCTGGAGAGCTGTCGAAACAAAAGCCCTGTGCCGAAAAATGTGCCCGGCTTTGTATGATGATGATGATGATGATAATGATGCTCCATTCTGAAGCGTTCGGTTGGGCTGTATTTTGTTTTGTTTTTGTGTCGGTTCCTGTTGCTGGTCCTTCGCTTGGTTATTTTTATTATTTATGTGCATTTTGATGTGGCCAGTTTTATGGAGTTGTTGGGCTCTGCTGCATATTTTGTTGTTCCATGTAGTTTTGTAGCTGCAATATTCTGTTATGTTTTCAAAAATACAATTTTTCGTGCCAGACCCCGAAAGTTTTTCTCGCTTAGCCGGAGGAGGAGTGTGTGGCGAGGAGTTGCTGTCGGTTATATTTTTGCGTATTGTCGGATATAAAATTGTAATGCAACAGCAGCTGACAAAGTTCTGAGCATCAGCTGACTGTAAAAGTACAAGTTTTTCGTATTTATTTGGATAAAACGGAATCCATTTTTTCCACTCTTCCCTCTTAAATTTTTATATTTATGACCACACTTCACACTCTCTGCCCGTGGGTTAATTAGCACGAGCAGATACAATGGCAATAAATGGAAATCGCTCAACATGCAAAACAAGCGTGCAGATACATTTGTATCTGTATCTCTGCATCTCTGTAGCTGTGCACGGCGAGCGCCCATTGGGAACGCCTTAATTTCCGCCTCACATAGGGCAGATATATATGTGCATATGGTATATAGTTCCGATTTACCTTAATGAGGCGTCTGCTGCTGACGTAATGCACGCACTACCAGAAGGCCTCCAAGCTCTTGAAGTGGCTCGGGGCCTGCCGCTTGGCCAAGCGCTCATTGTGTGTAAATTTGTTACCATTTTTTTTTTGCCTGTGCGTGTGTTTGTTTCCCTCGCATCGCACATAAAAGGTAATTTCTAATTTGCTGGTGTTTTATTGTTTCTTGCGCGCAGTTTTATGGCGGTGCTGCCAGCAGCGCCGACTTATGCAATAGACCCGACAGCTCAGGCTCAGACCTGAGCGGCGACTGCGACTGCGGCAGAGGCAGCGGCGCATGCGCTCAAATTACATGGCAGCTGTGGCGAAGACTCGCCCCGCTGCTCGTAAAAGCATAACGGCTTTCATTAATCATGCAATCCACGTCCAAAACGTAACGCAACCAAACGAAAACGAGGCTAGAACCAAAAGCAAGAAAACTCTGCCATCGACAACTGTTGCCAATTAGCAGCAACATGCAAAGCGCATTTGCAACTGCAACAGCAGCAGCAACAACAGCAGCAGCAGCGTCGCATCTCGCGGGACAACGAGAAAAAAGCAAGTTAGAGGGCTCTAGTTGGGAGTGTGCGACTAAGAGATACCCTGAACTGTTCGCTTCAAGCACTCGAAAACTATCCTATATAAGCTTACATGTCTTCTGCTTTAAGGAAATACGGTTTTCCAATTTTGAGAAGACACTCGGAACGGCATTCAAAAAGTGTAATATTCTGTCTGCACTATACGAGAACGTGGATACCATGTTAAATGTATCTAGCTCTCATTCTTCTCGAGTTAGGCTTAGAAAAACATTGCTCACTATCGATGTTATCAAAATGTGAGGAGTATCGACAAAACTTCTTTAGAGAACATGCTATTTGATTTCCAAGTCTGTTGCTCTTGTAGATTCCAAAAAAATATCTCAATATCAATAATTTCAAAATTTGAGTCGATCTTTACAAAGTTATAAACTTTTTTCGAGTATTGGAAAGGGGAATACGTATGTATATTGGATCTCACTTTTTTAGCTCAACCTCCCTTAAAAAATATATATAGTATAATTAGTTGAGTCGCAGCTGCTTTCTGCCTGTAACATAACCTTGCACAAAGCCACGCTACCCTTTCTACCCATTTTCACTGAAAAAAAAAACGTATCCAAAGAGCGTTAGTTTTTCCCGCTAGCCATAGATTTGTATGTGTGCATTGTAAGCAGCGGAGGATGTGATTAGATTATAAAGGTTTAAGAGTTGAGCCAGACGAAATAGAGGCATAAACTTGACTGTCCAGCCAATTAGACGCATGTATCTCTTAGCCTTGTTCTAGAGAGTTCAAGACACAGCAGGAAATGTTCCATAAAAATGCTATGCCTATGCAGAAATTAACATTGGCAAGATACAAATACAACCCGGAAAAGAAATTGGGCCCATTTCAAACTAAACTGAATAGGAATTCTTTTCGAGAACTCCGCCTATATTTTAAACGTATTTCCACAATTTCCCATCCTTCTCTTTAGCGTTAAAGTTGTGTATTTAAATATTTGTTTATATCTTTATATATTTCTTACTGCCATTCCAGTTGAGTTAAAGCTTAAATTAATAAATCGTCTGGAGATGCATTTGTGATATTGAAATAGTATTTTCCTTATATTTTTCCATTCCAACTTCGGCTATAAAATAATGTCTAGTTCTATATTTCAATATTTCTACATTCATCTCTGAATTTCACTCTTAAGGAAACAAATCTCCTTTGTCTACGTGATATTTGTACTTAAATTTCTGTGCCTTATCCTTGCCGACCTCAGCTTAAAAAAGAATATATTCAATATATACCGGTTTTTTTTCGCATGCAAACACAATTTGACCTGTTCTCATTTGATTAAAACAATCTGCTACCTGATCGGAGTTACGCATATGCGAACACGTGCGCCATTAATGGCCAAATCCTGAGAGGCCGTTGGCCAATCTACCTGCTAGTGTTTAAATTGGGGGCGCCAGGGCAGAGATTGCATCATTTGGCCAGAGACACGCAAAGGAAGCGCATCATGTGGCAGACAGACGCAGACACAAACATATCAGACTGTGCAGAAAGGATTATGGAGTCCATTGGCTATGCGCTGTATATGCATCGGCAGGAGCTGGGGCGCCCAAGGCGCTGCCGTCGCCTGATGCGCATCGCCAGCACCAAGCTGCGGCTGACAAATGAGCTGATCTGGCTGGAACGCTGCCAGTGGCAGCTGGAGGAGCCCGACTATCAGCAGTGGAGTGCACTAAATCGTGAGCGCGAATATCGAGATATATTGGAGCACAACATGCAACAGCAGCAGCTGAAGCAGCAGCAGCTCAGGCAGCGACAGCTCGACAGGCGCCGGCATGAGACGTGCCAGAACACGGCGCGCCCCGTTTAAGATAGATTAGTTAGTCCCGTCCGGGACTTTAAGCACTTTTAGTTTAAGTTCAAGTTTAAGCGATAAGCAATAAAGGCGCATAAATCATCAAAGAGCTGCTGCTGCTGCTGTTGCTTTTGCTTCTGGGATAGACGCTCGTTTGGTGTGAACGAAAAACCAGCCAAGTGCTTGGCTTCTGACACTGTCTAAACTCGGTGCCGAGGGGAGTTTTTCGGCAAACGCCGAGCTGACAGGGCCAAACGCTAAGAAAATGCAACAACAGCAACCAAACAAGACCACAACAACAACAACAACAACAACAACGACAAAAAGAGCCGCAACTGGCAAGTTTTTCAATTTCCTGTAGCCATTACGCAGCGTGCATCGGAGTTGCAAGTGTCGCGTGACACGCACAAGCGTCTCGTGACACGAACAGAAATATTAGCTAAATAAACCCAAGATTAGTTATTTAAGACAAATTTGAATTGAATTTAAATTGAAGCACATGTATAATTGATTAAAAAGGAACTAGTTTCCTTCGGGTTCTATAAAATATATTATATATTTTTTTATCAGATCATGTCATTAATATATATATAATATATTAGGTTAACGCTTCCAACTAGTTCCTTGTCTTGAGGTTCGGTTCGTGCGCCTAGTTGTATACATTCATAAGCCTAGCTGTTGGTTCAATCTTAATTTTGAGACTAGTTTCTAAAGTAGTTCTTTAGAGCTTTTTTAGCAGTTCCCTTATGATTTTTATGTAGTTTTTTGTTGTCATTTTGTGTCTTGTTTCTGTACTATTTTTTTTAAAACTTTTTGCCCCATGATTTCCCCATGATTTTTTGTAGTTTTATTTTGTGATTCATTGACTTGCTTCTCCACTAGTTCTTTAGGGGCTCTTTAGTAATTCTTTTCTAGTTCTACTCTGAGCTTAACTATTTAATCGGCTTGTTTCTATATAAGTTCTTTTGCGATTCTTTGTTCCCCTATCGTTCGATAGTTCCTTTGAGCTTGAACTGCCTGTAAGAATGCGTCACGCTCCCATCTCTAGCGACTACTTCTTTGTGGTAGCAGTTGGTTAGTCGGCAATTCCAGCTGCTCTGCTGGCCATTGACGTTTCGCGCGGTTCTCGCACGGGCTTTTTTCTCGCTTGATTTGTCACACACACACACACTCGCACGGTTAGCGTACCCAACGGAAAAGTAAACCTGTCCATCTGTCTGAGAACCGGTAACTGTTTTGCCAGGCGTTGCGGCGCTTTCTTTTTGCCCAATGCCAATAGCAAGGGGCTATTGGAAGGGGGTATATGGAGGGGTAGCATCGCTTTGCGTCTCATCTTGACACAGTCGCATTTGTATTTAGCTGCAATACCCTTAGCCTGCCCCTGCCGCTGCCCATCTAATCTCTCCTCAGACTTTGTCTCTGTCGCCTGTTTGTTTGCTATTCTAAGTGCTGGCTGCAGTTTTCTGAGCTTTCCTGAGTTTTCGCTTCGTTTTTCTTGTTTATTGTGCCATATACTCTCTATCTATCTGTTGGCATGTTGGTTATTTATGCGTCTTGTTGTCCCAATTCTGGAGAAAGAAAAAAACCATATGCTGCTGCAGCGTGTGTGCATGCGGTTTTCCATTTTTAAAGTGCCTGCCAACATTTTAATAAGCAGCAGAGAGGACAACAAAACACAGGATATAAAAAAAAAAAAATCCAACTAACAAAAAACTAAATACTTTGTTTCACTTACCTATCGATCGTCTGGACTCTAGGCGCAGTCCGCAATGCTAGAAAGAGAGAGAAAAGAAAAAATAACAATAGAATAAAACTATAGTTTATTATTTAAAACCAAAATCAATATGGAATATTGCGCTGACAACGCCAAACGCATAAAAGTCAACAATGGCCAACAGGGTGACATCAATTTAATGCTTTCAAAATGCGCTTTCAAAACTCCACACCTATAAATATATGTGTGTGTATAAAAAAATGCTGCACGACCTGTGCGACAGCAGATAAAACATAATGCAAATAATATTGTTTTTTATATTTTTTTTTTGTTTTTTTTGTAATCATTGCAAGTCTAAAATAAACAAATACACACACACACACACACAACGTGACATTTGGCTGCGGTGAACGGCCGTCTCTCTATGCGATTCTCACGAGTGTTCGCTGTCTCTTTCTGACTTGCAGCTTGCATTTTCGCAAACAAACTTCAAGTTTTTTCCAAAAAGAAAAGAGATTAAAGAGATGTGAAAGTCTGACAGCTGCTGCTACCTTTCTAGGCAATTTCCAAAAGGCCTCAAAGTAAATGTTAAAAAGCTCTAGAGTTTTTTTTTTTTGTGGTACGTCCCTACCTTTCCCAACAAAGTTACAGTCATTTTAATATCAGAATCGTTGGCTGTGACTCTTGTTTTGAAGCAATTAGGCTATGTTTATTTGTGCCTTTCTAATCTGCGTCCACCACACATGAGTTTTTATTTGGAGTGTCTACTGTAGCCCGTTGGCACCTGACTGTGCCCGTGACCGAGTGTCAGTTAACAGCTCAGTCCGCCTGCTGATGACGAAACTTATTCAGCCATAGAACAAAGGCAGCCCGTTTTTCTCGCTATGATAGAGTACATAAATACATTTATATAAATGAACGTACAAACACACATTTGTATTATATATATCTCGTATTTTTCGCACTTGAGTTTTTGTGCATTGGAAATTTTTGTGCGTGTCAGCAGCAGCTGTGTTGGCCACTAAACAACAATAACAAATACAACAACAATTGTAATAATAGCAACAATAAAGGCTAACAAACAAAAACACAAACAACATTGTACAAACAACAACAAAAACACATTTGATTGCTTCCCAAAAGTGGCAGAGAAGTTGCCACAGCACAGCACCACCCACTCAGTGGATGGGAGAGGGGAAGAGGGGAGTGGGTTTGGTGGTGCGACAAAACACAAATAAACAATTGCAATTGTGAGCTGGTTGTAATTCGGTGAGCGGCTAAATCGCCTGTAAATACTTTTGTACAAGTTAACAGTTATAAATGGGCTTTTTATGAGTTGTGTATTGTGTATGTGTGTTGGTGTGTGTGTGTGTGTGCGACAATATTTCAGGCAGGGTCTCGAGTGTTGTAGCTCGAGTGTTGTAATAACAAATAAATGAGATTCGCCAGGAACATGGAGCTCTCCCCAGTGATAACATCGAGCAGCTCCGCATATCTCATGTTGCAACAACAATTGGAAATTGAATTGCCGAAAGTAAAGTAAAGTATAGTAAACACTGGTCAGTGTTGCTTAAAGTATTTTTTTCTCAAATTATTTAAGATATATTTTGCCTAAAATTCTAAATATGCTTTATTTAGGCTTGCATCACTTTATAGTAGAAGATTATTTTATAGTTTTAAGACTTCTTGATTTCTAACTGCAAGAAATTAAAGACTTTTTGCGCTTAATTCAAGTATGCAAGTTCTGGTAAAAAGTATTTTGCAGGTAGGAATTCTTAGTTATAGTAATTTCGAATAACACGATTGAGAGGCAAAACTTAATTTAAGAATTCTGCAAGCTAAAGACATTTTATGCCTAAACAAAATATGCATATGCTTCTAAGTTTTTAGAACTTAATAAAAGTCTGGCTGTTTTAAGTAAATTAAACTTGTTTCATGCTCAATTTAAGCATTTTGAAAACCTTTATATACTTGAAATCTTCAGAATTCTCGCTGGGCTGTACTTGAAGTGGAATTGGCATTTTTCCATTGCGCTTGGACAGCGGCGAGTCTAGGGAAATGTTTGCTTGGACAGAAGTGAAGCCAAGCGATTCTCCCTCCCTCTCTTTCTCTCTCTCTCTCTCTCCCTCTCTCTGTATCACTGTGGTCGCGCCTGTCAAGTGAAATCGACCGTCCATGTCTTAGCTCCATCTTTTGCAGCTGCTGCTGCGGGTTTGTCTGCCAGTTGTCTGGCCAAGTGGTCATGTTGTTATTGTTACGATTTATGGCATACGCACGTAGATCAGCGTTGCAACAGCGGAGGGAGCTCACCCACCAGCACGCCCGGCACACCTCCGGCTCACCTGCTTCACCTGGCTCACACTTCATTTACAGCTTGCAAGTTGAGGGGGATTTTCTATTGATTTTCTCGTTTTGCTGGCGTGTTTTCTATTTGCTGTCCATAATAAACGCCATGCAATGGAAATCATAAAAGTCAAACAGCAGCAGCTGGGCATGGCCATAGTTGCATTTGCCAGCTTCATTAGGAAAATTTTTGCGCTTTCGTCTGAGCGCCAGAAATCAAACAACAACATATAATGATCATAATTATGTTCATAATGTGCTTGACGGACAGGTGAAAGATGCAACCCGCTGGCCAAAAGCCAGCACAATTTTTGGCCAGCTGCCCGCCCTGTGGGTGGGCCGTCTAGGACCATTAAAAACATTTGTTGCACGCTTTTAACGAGCAGTGAAAGTACTGAACGACAAGAAAAAAAGGCATACACACTACAAAGCTAACACAAAACTTTGCATGAATAAACAAAGGCGACAGATAAAAAACACATTCGAAAAAAGGAGGGCGGGGGCGCGACCATGCCCTTTTTTGCTGGCTGGCAGCAGAAATCAAAACTGCAACATCGCAACAAAAGTAATGCAAAATTAAATGTAAAAAACAATCAACAAACAGCGAAAGGGGCAAAAAGAGAAAGAGACAGACAGGCAGACAGACAGACGGACACTCAGACAGAGCGGCAAACAGGCAGCAAATGTTGACAGCCGCAGAATGCAACAAGCAAATTTGCAGCAATACAAAAACAACAAAAGCAAAAACTAGCTCTAGTCGAAAAGGCATGATTCATGATACCCTGTACATAAGCTGATGACAAGCACAAGCTGAACGCGCTTCTGCCTCTTTAAACAAGTACCAGAAAATGTCAATATTAAACAACGTTATCTATTTCTATCTATCTATTTCTATTATAAAAGAGTCTGCCTACAAAAGTTGGGTTCTATATGCTCAAATATCACATATTGAACTCGGGGCTGTGCTAGCTCTTTGCCCTAGTACCAAAAATTTGTATATTAAATAACTTTCGGTATTCATTGTCCGTTTATTGTAAAATTTGGAGTGCTCAAGGGGTACTGTATGCATGTAACAATTTATAAAAGATTACCAGGCCAGCAATCCAATTTATATGAGAGTTTACAGCCCACACACGGCTAGTTCGATCTGCAGTTATGATAGCTCTTCCTATAAATGAATTCGGAGCTTATAGTCCGTTCGATAAAAGACCACACCCCTCAAGTTGCACCTGCAGCTGTTAGGTGGTTCTTTCACATAGTCCCAAAATAAGTATATTTTAAAAAATGTCGATGCTTATTGTCCGATTGATATCAAATTTGCCTAAAGACGATTTTCTATTGTATGCATCTTACATTTTCCAAGGGAGAAAGCATCTATGCTCATGAAGATTCTGATGAAGCTCTATACATTTTAATACTGAATATGATATAAAAGAATCTTATTAACAAATTTAAAGAATGGAAGTCTTAACGATCATTGCGTTCACAAGAAGCCCATAGATGTATCCAGCTGCGGATGCTGATCAAGAGCAGATACTTTATAAGATACGATAAAAGATTTCCCAAACACCAATACACCCTCTTTCAACACACTCCCGCTGTCTACAGGGTATGCAAAAACAAAAAAAAAAACACAAAAGAAAGAAAAAAAAACACTGCGCTACAAAAGCCAACAAATATTTATTATTACATTTACATGGTTACATGGCAATGCGCATTTCTTTTGTGTTGCGGCAGTCGAATGCCCTAACATAGTTTGCATATTATGTGCTTGGGCATGAGCTTTGCACCACAATGGACCCCATGCAGTTCGGCTGATCTCTGGGCGCTATGCAAATCAGGTGCTCAACTGTCCTGAATATATAAAGGGCACAGCGCAGAAATGTAAATGCCTCTTAATGTCAGTTAATGGCAGCAATCGGCCATAAAACCCAACCATAATGAAGAACAAGAAGAAGCAGCAGTAAGTTCTCTGATCGTATCGTGTGGTCTATTAGGGAATCAACGAACTTCTCTCGATGCTTGCAAATTAGTTAGAAACAGACGAACGGAACCTGTTTTTGGTTCATTAGTTAAAAAAGCAAATGATAATATTTATGGTCGACTATGCATTTTGATTAGCTCATCTAAAACAAGGCAAATGTTTATATTTATTATGTGCATACCCTCGCAGAAAAATGACGCGCGAAATTCAAGTTTTTAAAAGTTCTTTAATAAGGTATGCATCATTTTAATTTATCCATTAGATATTATATTATATTTAAACTTCTCTAAATATTTGCTTAGCTTCTCGCTTTGAAAAAAGCATAAAATTTCGCTCAAGATTCATGATTTTAAATGTTCTTTGTATCATTTTAACTGTTCGAATTGAAATTTATGCAACAATTTTTTTTGTATGTTTTTTGCATTATTTTAACTGTGCCATTCAGAAATCTATTGAATGAATATGCGCATTACTTAAACTTCTCTAAATATTTACTAAGCTTCTCGCTTTGGAAAGAGCATGCACTGCGCTGTTACTGCGTACGACATTTTTAGTTAGATTACACTTGCATTGATTTTATGCTGTTTGTTGTTGGCTTTTCAATTTGTTGTTAAATGCAATAAAAGTGTATTTCGCATTTTGCATTTGGCATTTTGTCTGCAATTCATTGATTGAATGCGTCGCACAACTACAGAGAGCAGCCGCCCCTGGCCCCTGACACATATTCCCCCCG